ACAAGTTTTGCTTCAAGCTCGATGTTGAAATCTGATGGAAATTATACACCCGAAGAGGTTGTGTACTTGTTGGACTCTAATGTTTAGTCCTTTTGGATGGAGAAGGTGAATTCTCACCGGATTTCGTGATGCTTAACCATTTGTTGTGCAATTAAAATTTTAATTTCTGCATGTAAATCCTTACATTTGGAGTTCGCTTGATGCTTAGACCGATCTAAACCCCCCGAGTTGTTGGTTGAAGTGTTCTAGAACTCACTCCCAAAAAGACTCAAATCATTTCTGATTTTCGCGGTCCTTGTCTTCCAAGACATCGCTATAAGCCTTCACCAAAGCCACTTCTTTCTTTTCAGTCTATTTTTTTGGATTCTTGATGTTTGTTGTTTGGTTACGAGCTGTCGAGAATGGGTTGGGGTTTGTCACTTCATTCTTTATTTTAGTTTTGAGGGATGGACTAGTCGCCTAATTCTTTAGATTCTCCGTTTTAAGCATCATGTAATTGCAAAACTTCAAGAGTGGAATATAGGAATTACGTATCCGTTTTGTAAATAGTGGAATTGTGATTCTGCTTGTGATAATTGAAATTGGTTATACGCTAGTTACATTGATAATTAGTGTGGTTGATATGGTGAGAATTGGGAAATGGGATTTGGGTTTCGGGAATGGAATATATCAAATATTGAAACACTCTTCTAGTTTCGTTAAGCCGGTTGCATCTTAGGCTTTAGTTAAATTGTTTGGATTTGTTACGAATAGAAAACACATTAGAATGGAATTGGAAGGAAAAGTGAGAAAATGGGAATAAAATTGGAGATAAATGGAATGAATATCGAAATAAATTCCACAAAAGTCATTAAATTTATACGAAAATTCGATTTTAACATTGCGTTATTTTTTTATCAAATGTGATATTCCATTGACCAATTTGTTACATTCTGGCCACTTAACCGGTCAACCAGGTTATCTATATGACATGATAGTGTGTCAGTTTTTGATGACGTGGTATGTTGATGTGTCAAAATTGAAAAAAAATTCACAAAAAACACTAAAGTTTCATTTTTTTTTTAATTAAATTTGACACTAAGTTTTTATTTTATTTTTAATTTTGACGTTCCATTTTTTTATACCAAATCGAACATCATTTTTTCTAATTTTATTTAATGTTAATTATTTTCCATTTGAAACCATATAAATATCTTTTTTTTTTTTTTTTTGAAACCATATAAATGTAAAAACCATATTTTTTTTATCAATACAAAGTTTTTATATTCAAACCTTATGTATAAATATGCATTAGTTATATTATAACATTATTTTTCATTAAAAATGCAACTTTAATATGATCGGGGAATAAGAGGTTTTCTTTAATTATCATGTGACCATTAATTATATATATTCTTGATTTTTGTTTCTTGCATATGTAATTCTTTTCGCTTAGTATTACTATGCAAAAATCTTCTTTCACAAAAACAACAAAAAAAACAAGGTATTTGATATTTCTAAATTGTATATTTCACATAAATTCCAAATTTTGATTATCTCAAATATGGTTTCGTGTTACTTAATCATTATGTCGCATCAGCATCATATAACTAAATCAGCATCATATAACTAAATAGTACATGAAAAATACGGATATACTATAACGAATGCATATTTATACATAACATTTTGGTGGTATCCTCGCTACTCAAAATAATGTTCCCAGCGGTGCCGCATGCATCCCCAAGCCAACACAGGTCGACTCCATGCACCTTAAGACTACCCTATTAGGGTGATTTTGGTGAGCCATTCACCATCTTACAAATTAAAAGAAAATCAAAACTAAAAGATATTTGGTAATCTAGGCCACATACACAACCCAAGATCATCAAAACTCACTCTTTTTAATAATATTATTTAGTGGTGGAGTTAAATTATTTTTGTAATTAAAACTAATTTTGTCAGTAATTGTTTTTTATTTTGAGAAAAAAATAAATAAAGTATCTCAAAATACGTGGTTAATTTTTCTCTACGATATGGTACAGATATTGATATATATTTTTTTAATATAGAATTAGATCGCGTTGGATTGCTAATGAGAGTAAAAGATTAGGTTTAATTGTGTAGTAGATGTGAAAGAAAAATAAATTAGTTTTTTAATATATGATTGAGTTGGATTAGATTGTGAATGAGGATAGTCTACGGGCCAAACTGAGGCGATCTATAAACCATACAAATATAATACTTATACACTAAAATTAATAAATCCTTTTAGTTAAAAGCATAAAATATATTTTTATTTATCTACCAAAATAATTAGCTTGGAACAAAATAACATGAAGAAACAGAGAAAAGAAATTTGTAAAAACATTATAATTTGTGTTTACATGTGATAGAGACATCCAAGCTTCACCCTACTTTTATTAAAGTTGGATAATTTCTAAAGTTTAAACTAGTGGCTAAAAGCTAATAACGCTTCAACACACTGATTTAACATCTCTATTGTTCGAATTTCACTCATATTGCAAATGCTTTTTACAAATCTCTCCTAATTGGCATCGCATTACAATCTAGGCAAGCTTGTAAATGCAGATATAAATCACAATCTAGGCAAGCTTGTAATTGCAGATATTAATAAAATATCAATAGTGGGTTCCTTATTTTAACAACTTATTATATACGTTAAGATTTACGGGAAATGAATTATTAGGGTAATTAATTATTGTCTTTGTATTCAATTGGTCATTTTTCTCTTTTTTTTATCTCATTTACTATTGAACTTGTGATAGGTGTTTACAGAAACCATTGAAACCGGTTATTGAAGATTTCCGGTAATTTCTTATCTTCGACGACTCTCCGGTCGTCTTCTCCGGCGAGCCTCCAGTAAAAATGAGTTTTTCCGACGGACTTTTTTCGACTGCCATCCAAGCAGCATTCACCGCCGGTGTTGTTGCTTAGCTTTCTCCACCCTCCCCTCTCTCGCTCCTGTCGATTTGTTGCCAGAAAAAGGAAGAGGGGACGAAGACAACAAGCCACCTGCCACCTCCTCCTCCTATCACCGGAACCCATCTGTCACCTCCATTTTGCTGTCGGTAAACCACTATTACCACCTCCTGCTGCTTGCTGCTGCTATAAGTCATCAAACCGAGACCCAAAGATCCGTCGAAAATCTCATTTTTGTCGGAGGCTCGCCGGAGAAGACGACCGGAGAGTCACCGGAGAAGACGACCGGAGTGTCGCCGGATATAAGAAATTGCCTGAAACCTTTAATAGCCGGTTTCAATGGTTTTTGTGAACACTTACAACAAGTTCAATGGTAAATAAAATTAAAAAAATAATAAAAAAATAATAATAATTAAATACAAAAGCAACAGTTAATTACCCTAATAAATATTTCCTCTAAAAGATTTACCAAGTGATTGCTACGGTTCCCAAGAGTACATCGATAACAATGCTATTTTTACTTTTTTTTTTTCTTTTTAATTTTCAAATAGAGCAAAACGGTCGTTGACAGCCCCTTCCAACTTTCAAATTTTTTATTTTTGGCTTTTTTTTTTCTAATTTTTCTGAATTTGGTCCTAACGTGTTTTCGAAAAATTGCCAAACTTTATTTTCCAGGACGTGTAATTTTGTAGCTCATTTCCATTTCTATAAATCCAATACAGAGAACGTAAACTAAACCACCTCAACAACGTCCTCTCATCAAAGTGAAAAAATATAAGTTTTAATTGCTTAATTACATCCGCATACCAACCAAAAATAAACTGGTTAAACAAAATTACAGTCGTCCGAGCTATATCTCATCCTAAATTTTCAACCAAAAATTTATTTTTATAAAAGGATTTTCTAATATGTGCCCTAAGGGTACATATAAAAAGTATTAATTAATCACAATTATTACCATAATTAAATGTGAAATACATTAATTATAGAGATCATTAATGAATTTTATATTTAATTATGGTAATATTTCTTATAATTAATGTGTTTAACATTTAATTATGGTAATAATTATGATTAATTAATACTTCTTATATGTGCTCTTAGGGTACATATTAGAAAATCCCAAAAATTTATTTTTATAAATAGTAGTTAAATAACGAAAAAACCATCTTTTGAAAAATACATAAAATTCATTTATTTTAAACTCATAAAATTATAATGTCAAATCAGAGTCATATCATATAACCAACGGAAGTCTCAACACAAAGTAAACATCGAGTACAATCACGTCGTGTCCTTCCATTTCTTACGAGAATAACAATAAAAACTTGTAACATTAAACCATAACCACAAAACTTAATGACTTCCCAAATCAACCATACATTCCATTACACATACAATACATACTACCTGATAGCTTATGACCTTTCGTCGTTCCACCAAACACGTAACAACCAAGTAATTGTTGCATCACAATCACTAGGCGACAAAATATTTGTGAATCCATTCAAACTTTGCGTTATGACCATCCATGGGTCGTGTAAACTAGCAAGACATAAAACGGTTAGGGTTTTATATTATTATCAAATGAGAAGTACAAGTTACAATGAAAGGAAAAAAGACAGAATATATACACTAGCTAATTAGGGTTTTGTAGCTAATTGACCAACATAAAATCCAATACAAAGTAAAGCTCATAATCTTATTAGGCTAACATCCCCTCCTCAAACTCACAATGCAACAACAATAAGCATTGAGAGTTTGTCGGACAGAAAATAAAATCGAGGAACAGTCAATGGTTTCGTAAGAATATCAAAATTTGCAAAGTGGAAGAAACATAAAGAAGAGAGATAGTGTCTTTAGAGAGATGATGTTATGTGAAATGACAATCAATCTCAATGTATTTTGTGCGCTCATGAAACACTAAATTATTGGCAATCATTATCACACTCTCGATGTCACAATACAAATAGGTAGGCGAAGAAAGTGGCGGACGCAGAAAGTTGTCACAGCAGTGGCACAATTTTTTTTTTCGTCCGAATATAATAACATAAAAAAACTTAAAAGTACTAGTACATCAAATCGATCCATTATATCTTAATATCTAAATTTGACATCTACGGGTACACATTTTTTGAAACCGATCCATTACATCTTCGATCTTCACTTTCATAAGTGCTTCTTTTTCAACATAAGAAATCATGGCATCGTTCAAAAAATCATCACCTATTTTGTTACGCAAATCCGTCTTCAAAAACTTCATCGCTGAAAAACATCTTTCAACCGTTGCGGTTGCAACGGGTAAAACCAAAACCAACTTCAACAACCTATAAACCATAGTATAAGACCGATGTTTCCCCGTTTCCACCATCAAACGAGAAAGGTCGAAAATTCCTTGCAAACTAGTGAACCGGTCATCTTTATACAAAGCGTGATAATATATTTCAAGTTCACCATCAAGTTGCATCCTCTCCGCATCATCAAAATCTTTTGTGTATAACTCACTCAACTTTAACAACTTTGTTTTGTTAAATTTAGCAAATGAATCACAAGGACTCAAAGCCCCCATGTATTCTAGTAATTGGGTGTTAAGTTCACTAAATCGGTCCCCAAATTCTATAATTTGCATATCCATGACGGTGTTGAAAATTTCAACTTCAAAATGAAATTGATTAGTAATTTTAGTCTTACGGCCTCTTGATGTGACATAATTTTCCGTTATCTCCACAATATTAATATCATGTTTTTGACAAAAAGAGAATACATTCGATAAAAGTTTAGCAAACCCCGTGTCTCTTAAAGACTTCAATGCGTCAATTGTCCCTCTAACCAAAGAAGCTGCTTCTAAAATATCTTGATCCTTTTTTTGAAGATGCTTTGACAATACATTCGTGAGGTGTAAAATTGCATACATCAAATGTAAGTAAAACACGAAATCTAATGTCTTGAAATATTTTAAGATACCAAATGCTTGATTTCGGTTACTTAAAGTGGATCCTTCCTCTTCAACATAAGCAAGAACATGACGAACCTCCGGAAATAAGTCATCAAACTTGTGATGGTTTTGAAATGTGAACCCCATCTTGTATCTCCTGCTCCAATAAGAGAGCTTTCTTGGTTTAACCCTCTTCCAGTTTCAAGTTCACCATTTCCAATTGACATTTTCACCCTTTCTCTTTGACTTTCCCATAGCATGTCTTGTCTTTTACATGAACCACCTACCACATTAACCACCAAAGAAAGTTGCTCAAAGAAATCATCAACACCATCATGCTTCTTTGCTACACCCACAATAACTAACTGAAATTGGTGTGCAAAGCAATGCACATAATGCGCTGAATCATTATCTTGCAAAATTAAAGCTTTTAGACCATTAAATGCACCACGCGTATTGCTTGCCCCATCGTAATCTTGTCCTCTTACCTGATAAAAAAGATATTAAACATTAAAGTGAATAATATTCAATTAAAATTCATAATAAGGAAGAAAAAATGTTATATTTACCTGAGACATCTATAGCTGCTTTAAGAGTCAAAGAGGATGTATCCTTCACGTGCACCACTCCAATGAATCTTTCCTTCACCACTCCACGGTTGTCGACATACCTCAAAAATATGGCCATTTGTTCTTTTTTTGATACATCACTCGATTCACAACCAATAAAGAAAACACATCTTTACCAATTTCTTTGCAAATATCTAAAACTATCTCTGTTGTAAAGCATTCAACAATTTGCTTTTGAGTCCTCGGGCACGTCACTTGATTATTTTGAGGAGCATTTTCTAAGGTAACATTGTGAATGCCTTCATTATGGTCTCTCAAGAAAGATAATAACTCCAAGAAAATCCCTCTATTAAGAGAGTCACTCGACTCATCATGACCCCGAAATGGTAAACCATTTTTCAATAAAAATTTACAACACCAAATTGAAGCACCTAAACGAAGTTTATAATTACTCTCCTCAATCTTGGTTTGCTTGTTGAAGGCTGCACTAATAGATTGTTTTTCTTTCAATAAAAATTCACAATTTTCTTTTGCTTTGTGATGAAAACTATCAATACCACCCATATGATCTCTCAATGATTGTCTTTTATTCCAACTATCAAAACCTTGTGAAACAAATGCATCTCTCCCATGTTGTTTTCCCACCATGTCTCCACATACATAGCAAAATAAACAAAATGCTTTGTTCTCTTTTATGCTATATTCTAACCAATCAAAGTCATCAAACCACTTAACAACAAAACGTCTTTCTTTTGAACCTATTTTCTTTGAAGGGAATATATGACCCCTTGGTTGACATGGTCCTTGAAGCAAATATGCCCTCCTTATTTCATCTCTTTGATTTGGATGGTAAGTTGTAATCTTTGGTCTTACACCCGGGTCTTTTGGAAGATCTTTCAATTCAACATTTGTAATTGGAGTAGTTGTAGGTTGTGGATTTACATTAGACACCGAAGGGAATGATTGATTAGAAGGATATGGTCTTTTAGAGGATACTTCAAAACTTAAATCATTGGAGCATGGTCTTTTGATGGATTCTCCAACACTTGATTTAGTGATGCTTGTTCTTCCAAAAAAAGACCCACTTTTATCCTAACAATTCAATATCAAACAAATAAGCCATCCAATATTCCAAGTAAATTCAAGTAATTTCAAGGTTAACAAATAACAACTACTAATTTCAAGTAAACAAATAATTTCAAGGTTAACAACTACTAATTTCACCTAAAAGAAATTTCAACAAAAAAACAACTAATTTGACTAATTTCATAAACCTAAAATTATCAATACTTACTTGTTTCATTGTATTTGTAGGATTGAAAGGAGTTCCAAGCCAAGCCAAGCCAAACAAAATCGAATGGTTGAACACTTGAATGGTTGAAATCGATTGAAAGAAGCAAGTCCCAATATCCAAAAAAAATTTCTTCATCCATAGTTCACAATGCCGTTTTTTTTTTTTTTTTTTCTGTAATCTCGTTCACAAGGGCAACACTCCAATTTCTTTTCTTCAAAAGCCTATGGACACTTAATAGAGATTGGGTATTGGGCTAAATGGCTAATTCTATTGGTTAAAAAATTAAATAAGCAACTTGGGCAGTTGGGCTACAAACTCAAAATGCATTTGGGCTAATTCTAAATTGAGGTATTGTATTAATTTTCTTTATTTGTTGGACTAGCATTTTTTATAGTTTTATTTTCTGGGCCTCGAATTCTCAAAAGTATAGTGTCACCCGAACGAATTTGAAGCCGGTGCACCTAATAGAATTTTTTTTTTTTACCCTAACGGACCAAAGCGGAGCAGTGGCCCGGGACCCCCTGGGCACCACACACATCCGCCACTGGGCTGAGATATGTGAACGCCCATATCTGCAAGAAGCCATCCCAAACAAACAATCTCACAAGTGGCGATATCCATGGCTCAATGCTCATATTTTGTGGAAGATCAAGAGACAACATCTTGTTTCATGCTCTTCCATAATATCAATGAATCTCCAAGAAAAACACAATACCTAGTAGTGGACTTACGATTATAAATATCGCTATCCCAATTTGCAGCACTATAGGCACGCAACTGAAGAGAGATTGTAGATGGAAACAAAAGGGTGCTAACCACATGAACTGTATGAACAATATCCGGTCTAGTGACAGTCAGGTAAACCAAACGCCCTACAATGGTACGATAATGGCTTTGATCGCACCATGTGTCACTCACAAATCACTCCAAAAATTAATTATCTTCTAAAATCCGTAACGTTCGCATACGAGGTCCGTTTTTTTACGTTCTTTATATCCACGCATAAGTATCCACGGGATCTACAACTTTCGTTTAAACTCCGTCGGCTAATTTTGAATTTATTTTTAAAGTTATATTTTAACAGACTTAGACAGTTAAACCCGTTAAAAATTCATAACTTTGTCATTTGACGTCCGATTTCGACTGTCTTTATATCTTTGAGCTCCTATTAATGAGATCGTGAATTCTCATTTAGGTTTTATCGGTTAAAAATCGATCGATCTAAAATTTGATTTACGACACTGTGAACTACTATGCTAAATCTAAAGAAAAATCATAACCTCCTCATACGAAGTTAGATTTGGACGTTCTTATTTTGTACGTTCTCGGTTTAACATATAATACGACTTTCATTTTGATCACTAAGGCTAAAAATTAATCTATCAAAAATCCACTGATTACGTGGTGTCGTGTTAGTTTAGCCGTAAAACTTCGACGGGTCATAATTTTTTCGTTATAAGTCAGATTTTAGCGTTCTTTATATGTATGGAACCCTTGTGAAATATACTATAACTTGGTTAAGATTATTTATTCTAAATAACTTTCTATCAAAAATTCATTTTTTTATGCTTATTGCCTCAAAAATTGATTAACCCGAATCTGTGGGCGTTACAATGATAACGTGTCGACGACGTGGACCGAAATTAGTGTGACACGTGGTACCTCAAAAGGAAGGAAAAACCGCTAAAAGCATGACACACTCTTATCATTAGGTTCGCACCCCTATAGCCTGCTATAAATAGAAGTCGAAAATGGATCATTTCTCACACCTTTTCCCATCCTTCTCGGTGGAGACTTTTCTGATCTAGAGCTCTAATACTTCTGAGTTTGTGAGTATTTTAGCAAGGCTCTATAGAAAAAGTAAAACCCGACAAAATGAAGTAATTAGAGTCGAAGTTCTGCCTACGAACTTTCCGACTTTTCGCTAGAAACTTTGATGTTTAAAAGATGACCTGCACAAATGGTCCCTGTGGTTTGTCGAAAATTGCCACTTTGGTCCAAAAAGGTTTGGACCAGCACCAGTGGTCCAAAAGTTTGATTTTGTTGCGAGTTTGGTCCAAATTACTTTGATTTGTTTTAAAATGATAGATTTGCCCTTTTTTAATTTCATTTTCTATTTTTTTTAATTTTGTTATATTTTTTTATTTAAATTAAAAAAAATTATTTTCAGTCCTCCCTCCTGTAAACAAGACCACCACCACGATCACCATTTCCTCTCTCTCTCTCTCTCTCTCTCTCTCTCGTTGGAGCACCTCCAATATTAACCCTCACCGATATGCTCTTTGTTTCTTCTCCGGCAATGGAAACAGATTTGTAAATAAGGTTTTGCTTCGAGCTAGGTTTTGTTGAGGATCAATCAAGTTAGAGGATTAGATGAAAGGCGGCGAGAGGCAATATGTTTGCTTCTGACGGTGGTATCCCACAAACTGGCTTCCAGATCTGGACGGAGGAGGATCTGAATCGTCGCCACCAGATCTATCGATTCAAGCTTTGTAAGGATGCATTTCAGATTTTCGGAGGTGGATTCGTCTAGAAACCCTCAAGATCGACGACGTTCCTGATCTATAAACGTCGTTATCTTCACAAATCGACGACATCCTTCTTCTTCATTCAAAACCCTAATCCATATGAGATAAGGTGGCGGCGCTAGCGTTTCAGAAGTTGGTGATGGTTTTTGTCAAAAATTGGGGTTATGGATATGGTTTCCGGTGGAGAAGACGAACAAAGAAAGTGACAAAAGGGTCTACGATGGTGGGAATCGATTAGGATTTGTTGTAAGTGATGGTGACTTTCAGATTTGTTGGAGGTTGTTGGTGACAGAGACAATGGGGGCTGAAGGTGGGGCTGAAGGAGGTGGGATCAACGACGAAAATGGTGGCGGCATCAACAATGATTTTGGATGAGGGTGGTTTCTATCGGTGACACCAGTTTCCGGCGATGGCACCAGTTTCTGGGCTTTATGAAGTGTTCTTTAGATCCATGAAGAACAAACAAAAAGAGAATGAGAAATATTGGGGAAGGAAAGAGAGAGAGAGAGAGAGAGAGAGAGAGAGAGAGAGAGAGAGAGAGTGAGAGAGAAAGAGAGAGAGAGAGAGAGAGAGAGAGAGAGAGAGAGAGATTTATTTTTATTTTCTTGTTTTTTTAGAGAGAGATAGAGAGATTTATTTTATTTTTTTATTTTTTTTTAAATCTGAAAATAAGAAAAACAAATAAGAAAAAAGATAAAATATATTAGCAGGGGCAGATCCATCATTTTGAAAAAAAATCAGAACAGATTGGACTAAATACGCAACAAAATGAAAGTTTTGGACTACTGGTGCTAGTCCAAACCTTTTTGGACCAAAGTGGCAATTTTTGACATACCACAGGGACCATTTGTGCAGTTTTGTCTTAAAAGATATAAGATGAAGTGTTAGGCAAGAAGCTCGCCAGCCGTGGATCTTCCACCTCAATCAAGTGAGTTGAGTGAGTGCATAGTTACTTTCATAAACATGATTTTAGTACAAGTATTTATTAAATGTATTAAATATGTTGAAAGTTTATGTGTGAATTATATGATTATTAACTGGAATATGTGTTAGATGTATTTTTGATGACATACGGTGTACGGAACAGATATGGTTCTATATGTGTTAAGATGTATATATAATATTATTACATGATGATAATATTAGAGGTATTATTACAGAAAAAATAAATGTATACTAATACCTAGTACTTTGTGCTAAATGTATACATTAAATTACGATAATGTTGCCTAAAAACGAGTTGGTATTGGAAGTTGATTATAAGCATTGTAGTCTTTCCTAGTGATGAGATAAGACTTATAAAGGATGCTTAGTTCGAGTTGAGTTGAAAGTGTGTTAGTTATACCTTGTATTGTAAAGATATTACATATGCACGAAATTGGTGTTGATTACCGGGATGGAAATCTTGTTATATCTTAGTTGACCTAAAGTAGATGCTTAGTTTAATTAAGTTTGGCTATTGGGTAGCATCATATTACTGGATTGTGTGAAATAGGAACGAAGAGTAAAACTCTATTCGATGACATTGGTGACCAGTGGGGTGCATTTTATGTATATGAGTACTATATTGGTATTCCCCCTCATTTTCCTTTCAGGTGAGCTTTGTAAGTTATCGTTTCCATTTATAAAGTGAGCTTTGTGAGTTATGTTTTCCATTATCTAGTGATCGGATGAGCTTCGTAAGTTATATTTTAGACTGCCAGATAGGATGTGCGTATATCAGATCACTTCTAGGTATGTTTGGGTCATCATTTAGACAGCCAGATAGGGAGCATAGATAGGGAGCATATGAGGGTAGAAATATGTTCAATAATACTTGTCATCTAGAGGAGTATAGATAGCCACCCCTGACTTAATTGTCTTATAGTGTTAAGTAATCATACTAATCCGAGAGTATGGATTTTGTATATTCATTCGAGTACTCCACTCCCCTTATTTGTTGTCTCTATTTACCCTCCTCTATTTCCAAGGAATCCCCAAAACAATATTGTCAACTTGTTGCTTACAGTGATCCATCAGGATAGATTGACGATATGCGGTTGATTATCTTATATATATGATATATTTGTGTTGTTGATAACAATTAATTTTTTCAAGTTCGAGATATATGATTTATTATCATTAAAACATTATAGAATTAAGACCCTATGTATATCACCAGGTTTCCCAACCTGCCCCACTCATTTTGTATGCATTACATATAGAGGTGTTATGACTGCTGAAGACTTGAATAGGAAGTAGAGTGATTAAAGATAAGACATGTAATAGTGTTCATTATTGTTAGGTCTTTACGTCGTAACATATTTTGTGTATCGATTATGATATCCCTAAAGTTTTGATATTTTCAAGCAATAATTTGTATTCAAAATGTTGTAATATAGTGGGATTTTCCAAAAATTAAGATATTATAAATTTGAAAACATAAAGAAAAGAATTTTTGGTTCTAAAATATATGGGATGTCACACTATAGTAGGTTTGGAATTCATTTTCCTAGAAAATGTTCGGTTTTCATGCAACATTAAAAAAAATGTTAAATTCAATTCGGCAACAAAATTATCACATTTATGGATGTATATTATGACATTTTTGCCAATGGAATCTACGAAAATGTAACATTCATTTTCTCGTTTAACACTGCCTACAATAGGTTTGGCATTCACTTGCCTAGAAAGTGTCTGTTTTCATGATACATTAATTTTTTTCGTTAAATTCAATTCAACAATAAAATTATCACATTTTTGGATGTATATTATTACATTTTGGTCGATGGCATCTACGAAAATGTATCATTCATTTTATGGTTAGTAATTTCAATCCTTTAATCTTTTTGAGTTGATAAATTTAAGGGTCTCGGTGCGGCCTTCTCACAACATGACTTCTAATAAAGTTTGCAACATGATGAGTTTGCAACTTGATGAGTCTATTTAATGGCACAAAAGCTTATGGTTTCATTATTTTTTCAATCTCCATCTCACAGAGACTCTCCCATGCAAAACCATAACCCTATATTAAGAATTTAAATGTTTTCTTCCTTGGTTAAGCTTGAAGGTGACCATTGATTGCAAGAAGATGTTGTTCCAATCATTTCCAGTAACTAGCAACCTTTTCCCCCTTGCTTTTGGACCTCTGTGAG